GTGCCTATAGCAAAGCTATATATCCCGTTATGCGTGAAGTGGACTGGATAGTGCCAAACGAAATTACAGGTACTCCTATTAGGCCACCCAATGTACATCGTCCTCCGGGTAGACCACCCACAAGACGTCACCGATCCAGATTCGAGTCCGCCACACGACTGAGGAAATGCACTCGCTATGGTGGACTAGGTCATAATCGGAGCACATGTTCCAACCCCATTATACCACCGACCGTTTAAATAAGCGTTTGTAATAAATAGGTTTTTGTTCGAAAGTGGTTGAAGTTGTATGTGAACTGGCACCCCATGTCGTTTGTAATGAAAGAATGTAAATGTTCTCATTTTTTTATCATTGTCATTTGTTTGCTGACATTAGTGTTTCTCATGATCGCAACTAGTTAGAAGATATTGTAATTGATATCCCTTTAGAACATCTCGACAGTTAAACTGTCATTCCCGACAGATGGTTACAGAGTATATAATCTGACTGGTCCGAAATATTTATGCCTGCATGACTACACTGTTACCCATTCAAGTCTCTACTTACACAGATATTTTGAATCATAACATTTCTTTTACATTCCATTATCGTTTCTTAACAGCAGACATTGTCTTCTAATTTAGTAACAAACAAAAATGGTATGTTTCAAGGACGATTTAGGGCTGACCTGATTAGGAGTTTTTCCATACGGACTTATTTATAAGACACCACGTATGTATACACACCTAACTCCACTTACAAGGAATTTTAAAAATAACTTATTTTTCGATGCTTCCAAGTTCATGTATTAAGCCCGAACCACGAAATCCCGACGAACCTACGTTGTCAAAACAGTGAACTTGTTCATTCCAGGGTACGTCAATTTTCAGTAAACAAGGGATCCATACAAGGAAACACAAGTTTCATACTTACACAAATGAACCTATGCTCTTACATCCCGACAGTTAATCTATCGTTCCCGACAGTATACATGCCGTTCCCGACAAATTGTTTCTGTCCTCGTCCATAGTAGGTCCAATACCAAAATCTACCAAAATATGAAGAAAACAGTACGTAGACAATGGAGGTGCTTTTGCTCACCATTGCCGAACTATGTTACGAGATCCATCCCTGACAAAATACAAACTATACATTATTTCATACGCTCCACATACCCATATTCGCCACCTTATTGATTGTCCACACTCGAACCATCTTGTTCGGAGTCATCGGAGCTGATCACAATGATCTCGGGAGATGGAACATGAGCCAACCACGAGTCATCGTCAGACTCAACTTCCACCGGAACCATCAATGGGACGACCCAATCGAGCACGGTCTTTGAACTTTGGGAAGCTTCACTTGCAACATCGTCGAGGTTCGGAAAAGGAACAACGGATGTGGCTCTCGTACCACGTTCATAACTCACTTCGTCATCGTCCGAAGCAATGACGATGGGACATAGTGGGGACGAACCAGGTGTTGGTAGCGGCTCCTCATGCTTGAATGATTCATTGCTCCCTGTCGATGACGTCATTGTTCTGATATGAAAATATGTATTGAACCTGTTGAGGAGTAAACGTAGAGACTGCAACATGAATTTTCAAATGTGAATATTGCAGGTGTCAATGATAATGTGGACTTACCATGCTATCTATAGTAGATTTTTTGGAGAGATACACTGAAGCTCATTTAGTGCCCCAACCACCAACCCCCATACAATTAAAATTTGATAGAAAACTATGTGATGGTTGATGGTCTAATCATACTTAAATCCATAGTATATGTCCTGAAATGGTGGCTGGGGTTGGAAGATTAGTACTAATGTGAGTTATGACTATTGAATTATTTTGGCAATGACTAAAAATGAGCTAAGCACGATTTTCAATTCCATTTTCAGTATTTGAATGTGGTGCTCCTTCCAAAAATTGAGAAAAAACTTTTCAACGTAACAGGTATGTGCATCGTTTTTTCCATGTAGCTGCATGTATTATAACATTACATGAAAGACTGTAAATTTGAATTTGCTATGTTGGTACTTTTTTTTTACTTAGTTGAAAAACGAGAATCGTAATGTATTCACGAGATTCTGAAATTACTGTCTTTTAGATGACGAATCGAACTACACTGCATACTCTCGAGTTAGTGGAAATTCTGGAATACATAAGTTATAGTCACACACGCATGCATAAAGAGCAACAAATGGCAATTTCGTACAAGTACTTCTAATACAACACATTCAAACATAATGTACAAAAATCTAGGATTATCCATGTGCGCCTGCATATCGGGTTTATATAACATTCATTGCAACCAACAACAATGACATGAACGAGCTAGGCAAGCAAAAGTGTAAGTCAATTTGGACCTATTTATACAAAAATCATCGCAACCAATAACATAAAATTTGTTCATACAACGTTCACCCCTTTCAAGAACCCTACGTGAACTCCAAGTTGAGATGCAGTCACCGTGGAAGGGGTTAAGGCATCTTCATCCACTGTCTTCTGCACGTCAATAACCAAAAACGATATAATGAGATCAAAGTTATCATGGAAGTTAATTTGGTAAACTCAAATATATAGCACTTCCGACAAGAACACTGAACTGAACAAATAACGACATGATGGTGCTCTTATATACATAAAGAAGAAAAAACATCAGCAAACTAGAAAGTACTCCACAAGACTGCAATGCTGAAGTATAATGAAATCCATAATCCAAAGCAAAGAGTGGAAGCTAAAATTTAAACTTCTAACCTTTGTTACTCAAAATTGGAGTGCTAAATTTGACAAGCCTCATGAAATATATAGATACATTCCCAATCAACTTATTGTCACTTCAATGCAACATTATCCCACGAAACTCATCTCGTTCGGTCATCCAACCCAATTCAGAAGCAATCAACATCACAACATCCAATCCAGTGATTCTCATATACAAATACGAATACTTAGAAAATTGTCTTCCAAGAACCATACAATTGAAATGGAACTACGAATACCAATAAAAGCCCAAACATAGTAAAGAAACAAAGAATAATCAATTCTTAAAAAACTTCAACTATATCAGATATTAAGGATAAAGAAAGTGAATCTAGGTTAAAGAAAAATACTCATCTACATGGTAGCATAGGACGTTGGGGGATTGAAGTCGGATACCGGCAGCGACAGAGGCAGAACAAAATGTCTCACCTTCATTCGCAGAAAGCTGAGATTTTCAGCATTTTCTCCCCACAATATCAAATATCAAAACACCGAAAGAGTGATAAATACTCAGGGTTAGAATCAACAATATAAAGGGCGACTACCGGCTTCGTGATGGATTGGAGAAGACTAGGTTTTCTCTGAGGGGGAAATGGAAAACGGGAATGGGAAGGGTCAGGGAAAAGGGAGGGACCTTATACTCGTTTTATAATTTCTACACATTTTTAAAATTAACTTTTGTATACGGGTTGGGTTGGTCGGCTTTGGGTTGGGTTAAAGGGATAACCCATAACCCAACCTAACCGGACAGAAAATGGGGTAAATATAACCGAACCCAACCGATTTAATTGCAAAAATGGACCCAAACCCCTTCGAAATGCTCCTTTACAGATATTCGACTGAACGTGACAAAATTCGACAATATTATGTTTCAATTGCATGTGATATGAACAGTTCAGAGAATATTCGTATAATATTCAACATGCTCCTTTAGAATAACGTAAATGTACGACTACGCAAAGACGAACTCCACACAAACTTGAAATAATGTCAAATTACGCCAAAAATACCTCATTTCTTCACTCTCTTCGCCCTCCCCTTGGTGTACGGAGTCTTTGTAGATATAGCAGGACGTCGGATACGTGTTGATCGTCGCCTCTTTGTGGTAGGTGGGTCATTGCATTGCACGGGTAGGCTGGCCTCCCCCGGTATGTTTGTCGCACCGCCTACAATACAGTTCCACTTTAATTAGTACTTCATCCATTTGCATCACGAATTTGGGTTAGGGTGACATCATAAGTTCTCCACCGCAATGTACTTACCATCCACCTCCGCTACGCTACTAGTGGACGCAACACCTTTGTCCAAGAGGTTCCCCGAACCACCGGAAGACACTTCGTCATCCTGACTGTTCTTTTCTGGTTCGGAATCCATGCTGTGTCCACCTAGTATGAAATTAACATGCAACGAAATATTAGTAACACTGTATACTTCAAACAGTCGAGAATACATATTAGTGCATGAGGTCATACGTAAGTAAATGATCCAAATATTACGCGTTACTCTAACTAGTGAAGTAGAAGTAAACCACCGTAGTGTACGTACTGTCCGCCTCCGCTACGCCAGTAGGGGACGCAACACCGTCGTCCTCACGTTTCCTCAAACCACCGGAAGCTACGTCGCCGTCGTCACCGTTCAGTGCTGGTTCAGATTCCATGCCGTCTCCACCTACGCATGAGTACCAACATACCTAATATTAGAAATAGCGTGTCGTTCAGGGTTTACAGTATACACACTTTCGAATGAGGTGAGACCTATGTACGAAATCAAATATTATGCGGAACTTAAGACACGCACCGTTTTGCTCTTGCATTTCGTTGTCCATATCTTCGTCATGATCAACCGACAACGGGGAGAAGCCTCTTCCATGCACTACAAAATAACAATTGCAAAAATGTAAGGGGGTTACGTATTTTCTAGTATCAAATAGTAAAGAAGACATGAAAATGTATCCATAGTAATTGATGCACATACCTTGTGGGTCCGCACATTCCGGGATAGGGTCGGTGTCGCCTCCATTTCCGTCTAAGTCACAAATCCCATGTGTACTCAACGTCAGCAAACATAAGTAACATATAGTAGATAACAATTTAAATGCAAGACACATACCATGCACTGAAATAGCCAAAACTATGGGCTCCTTTGCCGCCTGAGCCGTAGGTGGAGTACTTCTAGAGGGAGCTGGGGGGACGAGGGTAGAAATAAAGTCCCTGACCTTCACAAATTCATCGGTCACGTGTTGCATGATCTCAAGCTTCACTGTGCGCAGCCAAATTTCGATGAGCGTTCTTTGATCGAGCAATAGTTCCTCCACCTCATCTCTTGTGAGGCTCGCACCAGAGGTTTGACCTTGTCGTACATGAGATGTGGAGGGTGCATGAATGGGGAAGTATGTCTGTGCATGGGGGAAAGGAATGTCCCAGTCTGCGGTGTACGAGTGTGGTCATCCTCACTGTCCCCACTGTCCCCCTCGTTCGAGGCCTCTCCATTGCTGTCTCCACTCTTATCACCTTCGGTCGCCTCACGGGCTCCCTCGTCCTCACTGTCCCCCGACTCATCATCGTACTCGGAGCCTCTTCCACTGAAAACCATTGTGCACTCCCCCCTTGAGTTTCCAACATTCCCCCCACTGGGCAAAGGATCTGGGTGAAGCTGTGCAGGGATAATGTCCCTTGCAACCTCGTCCAGCACAGGTATAGTACGGTCTTCAAACGGCATGAGGGTGGAGATACATGGTTGTCCAAACTCGGCTTCGGTGGGATGAAGCGTCACGGACACGTGCAGCTGCAGCATAAAATAAATTAATGTCACCAAAAATGTAACGAGTAATGGCACATGCAGATCGTATGCATGAAACGCAATCCAATACCTTAATGTTCTTGAAAAATGCGTCATACGTCCAGTGTTGCGGCTGTTTGGTACACGTCCAACTCAAAAGCCGTGGGGATTGATGACCCAATCGCCGAGCAAACCTATCCCCAATTTTTAGTATTGCCTCGAATGCCCAGATCTGTTACAGCAGATAGTAACTGTGAGTTGAACATTAAAGGAACCAATGACAATACATTTCTGATGAAATAATGAATACGTAGTACAAAATTTGTGTGTAGTACCTGCATGGCAATGGGGAAGCCGTGAACTGTATAAGTAACCGCCTTCTCCTTCTTATTTGTGGCATCTACAAATTTTCGTCCCAATCTGCGTCGGAAGCCCCTTATTAGACGAATGTACGATACTCTACCCCAAGGGTAGGAATAGAACATGTCCAGATCGTCCACGATCGACAGCGTCAGAAGTTCAATACCGACATGGCTATCCGAAGCATTGAACACTCCTTCGATGATTAGAGCAAGCCCGAGCTTGTACCGATCAGCTCGGGGAGTCGACGGTCGGAGAAATGCTTTCTCAAGTTCGCCACACGAAATCCTCTCCGTTGATTTGAAGTATTTATCCTTCAACCTCTTCTTTTGTAGAACTCGATCCATCGCGGCGTCATCTGGAAGAGGACCACACATTAAACCCGTGACAAGAGCATACTCTTGCAGACCAAACCTGGCTAAGTGGCCTTGCACTTTAAACCATATTTCCTGGCCTTTTTAGTTCGTATGCAGCGGAAAACAAGTTGCTGGATTAGTTGGGCTGAGAATTGGAGATCTCGAACCTCGGATAAGAACCCTAGGCATGAGTTACGGAAGTTCGTACGCTGCCGCTCATCAAAATGCTCCAGGACTGTCTTCACGTACCGTAGATTGTTCGCTGTGAGATGTGGGCCCTCAGCCGTGCATTCTTTGGAACCAGATATTCAAAATCCATTCACCCTCCTGCAGTTGAACATAAATTTAATACGTCAGATGGTAGTATTTGAAGGCACACTACAGGGAAATAATAGAACCACATTTCAACGAACAAGGTGCATTGAATAATCAATCAACAAATGTCCGGATCATAACATTGCAATTATGTTAATGCAAAAGCACACATGCAATGTTGGCACCACTATACAAATCGTGAGATCATACGTTTGAGTAATAGTAATGCGAAACACACGTACAATGTTGCAACGACGGATCAATGAACAAAATCGTGACATCATAGCAAAACAGTATTTTTAATGTGAAACTTACGTGCACTGTCGGAACCAAAATTCAACTTGCATAACTACGGAAGAAATGAACTCTCATTCCCGACAGTTCATCGGTGGAGAGGCTCATCTGTCGAGAATTACTGAGCCTAACTGTCGGGAACGACAGTTCATCTGTCGAGAATTTCTGTTGTGAATTGTCGGGAGCGACATTTCGGTGGTAAGTCATTTAACACTTCATGTTAGTGCATGGAGAGTGATAGTGTAAAACATTGTGTACATTTTCGAAGTAGTGCATGATACAGTTCTCGATGTGCAAATACGATAAGTACACCTCAACGGCCATATCCAGACTACAAAACACCAGCTCTGACTTAGACAATAGCAATTGAAGACAATATCAATTGAAGACAACAACGTGCAAATATGCTAATCCAAAACACCTACTCTGACTAAGACTAGCAATTGACGAGAAAACTGTAGTAAGCAAAATATTTCTAATATCGACGTGTCATGCATGACCCAAATAGAGTTCCAAACCCCAAAAACTCAGCATTTTTCGCAAATAGGAAGCAAGGACAGACAAGTCCAATACAACCTGAGAAGATAAAGTTCAATTAGGAAATAACTATTAAGACATTAAGTAATAATATAAATCATCTGGGACAACAAAATAGAACATTCTACAGAAACCACAGTCATATTAACGCAAAAACATATTGACTCACATCATAAGCTAATGTCATATTTAGTCCCTATTTGGTAGAAATTAAAATTCAGATTTTTAATCTAAGTCAAAATCAACAACTAATATTAACCATACATTTTGTAGGACCCACAACTTTTCAACCACACATTTTATCAACTTTTATTAAAATCTATTAAAAATCTGATTTTAATCCCTACCAAACAAGAGCTTCATAAATAGATGTGAGGCTACTATATCTCTACAAGAATGAACCTAAGGTCTACATGCATATAACCAATCTAGAGGCCTTATTAGTTTTTCAAATGTGCAATGTAGTCAATATTTCTTCATTCTGTAGTGCAGTAGACTAATTTTATCATTCTAAGAGAAAAACTTAAACACCCTGTTGAATATAGTTTCAAAGGAAGCTCAGAATTATTCCCCAAGCAGCTAGCCTTCAACACATTTGCTTAAATAAATTGTTAGAAGACATAACGTTATGGTTCTCAGCATGTAAGTTAAGAACTTTTCCATGAAGAAAGCAACAAATCCTGAAGATTTGCATGTTGTATTAATGTGCCATACTGTAAGTGTGATAACATGAAAGCAATAGAAACGCACTATTATTTTGTTCTAATACTCCCTCCTAGCTGGATTGAATAAAAAGAATATCAGTTAAAATGTTCGAATCAAGCTGTTCATTTGTACAACAGTATGTAGAAATGTCCAGATTTGACAATAACACTAAATTAAAAAATTTCAACCACCATAGCATTATGACAAAGTACGTTGAGAGTATTACTACTCTAATTATAATGACTTTAAGTAGACAAATGTTAGACAAACAATAACCACAGAATACATAAGCCCAGCAATCCAGTTTTTCTCCTTAAACATTCATCTTCATTTTTTCTCAATAACAGCAAAGCCATATCCAAGTAAAATCACAATGAGAATGGTAAAATGCTACAAGCAGGCTGGACTGAATAAACACTATACTAATGTTAGCACAAAGTTTGTACAGAAACGCACTTATCTCCAGAAGAAGCACTCTCCTAACAACTACAGAAGCATCCACTTAAACAAGATAATAATACAGAAACGAAATGACAGTATTCACAATTAATAATGACAATACCATAGGAAGCACGAAACTAAAAGAGAATAAACAACTTCACATGCGAGGAAGGAGCTCACGAACTTAACCATTTTTGCAGAAAATAGAGAGACAGAGAGAGAGGCAGGAGGCTCACGATTCACGGACTCACGGAGTTTGTTGTCACAAACATGGTGCAGTGGGCCAGTGCCAGAGACCGAAGAGGTTGTGGGTGACCGTCGGCGGCAAGATATAACCGAAACGCAGATTTCCAAAATCTTCAAAGCCGGTACCTCAACGCAACAACGACAACCGATCTCCCCGACGATCGATGACTGCGATTTGGCTAGACAATAAAAGAGCCGGCGACTGAGACAGAGCGGCGGGCGTCGGAGTGTGAAACGCAGAGACGAGAGGGAAATGGAGAAGTTAAAATTGGAGAAATTAGGTTTGCATTTTGGTCTCGTCTGCCGCCATTTGAGATACTGACACAATACAATTAACACATGTTTGGTATTCTAATATTTTAGAGGGGCAAAACTGTCATAAATTGATATTTTTGATAGCAAATTTAAAAGGTGACAATTTTGATAAAGCAAACTCAATTTTTGTTACCTAATGAAATTTCCTCAAAATTTTATCAGGAATTTGTACATCCAAAAAATAAAATTTTTTGACACATACCACGTATAAAATCTTCTAATAAAATGATGTAAATTATATCGAAAAATTTGTCGCACAAAATTAATAAACATTAATAAAATAATTGATTTCTTTTTTAAAAAAAAGACGAGTTATACGTTCTTTTTGACACATACGTTTGACTTACGTTTACCCATTTTCGATATTCGTTTCGATCATTCGATATGTCTACGATATAGTTCTCGAAATGAGCTTCAAGATGATATAGAAGATTTAAGTATTCGATCAGCGTACAATTATCAACGAATTTTTAAAGTTGGCATCTTATCGAAAATCTAGAAATTGTAGTTTGGAACGACTACTTTGACGCGTCGTAACATTTACTACGGTTGTCCATTTTGCGCACCGTTAACGACGTAAAATACTAAGCGATGAGTACTTCAAAATGATATTAAGATTGTGATATTTCGACGTCATATGATATCCCATAATGAGTCCGAAAATTAAGACAAACACATGAGAAATTATAATGAATTTATTGGTCTTTTCCTTTTCCGCCAGCACCTTTCCTTTTTCCTTCCACCACACGATGACACGTGTCATCTTTTTGAAATTCTGTAAGACCCCTGTAAGAAACCATGTGTACGCATAGCTTAATCCGAAAAAATTTGGCAAGAATGAGTATCAAACAGGCTGTAAATATTAAATTCTAAATTTTCCCCCGTCGTTCACTTTCTTGCAGCAAGCACAATACCACATATTGACATTACTTATTCATTTATAATGTTATGTGAAAAAGGGTTGTAATGAGATTATAAGAGAGCAATTTTCTTCTTTGATGAATTGCGCGTGCGTGGGTTCACTAGGTTGTGGCCTGATAATTACACATACCCTTTCGTGTTTAAGGCTGTTAAAGGGTTGGGGGAGCTGGATCGAGGGGAGAGGCAAAGGATTCATGGGTTTGTTAATTGTTATAAAAGTGGGTGTTATTTGATTGTTATGTTTGTAATTCTGTTATGGACATGTATAGGGGTTTCAGGTTTGGGATATGTGCAGAGTTTGAGTAAGGCGTTCGAGGAATTGTCTCTGAGAGACGTGGTTTTGTGGAATGTATTGATTTCATTTTCTGGGCTTGTCAAAAGTGAGAGATTTGAATCACATATACTAGTATTTCAGTTTTTCTCTTTTCTCTTGACTTTATTATAGGATTTTGGAATTGGATATATGTCTATTATTCCAGGATTTTGCAATTGGATTTTTGGAATTGGATGTAATTGTTGTTATTTCGGGATTCAACAACTGATTATTGGAATTGGATGTGCTCTGTCCTTCATCTTCATTTTTTCTCTTTTCTCGACTTTATTCTAGGATTTTGGAATTGGATATATTTCTATTATTCTTGGATTTTGCAATTGGATTTTTGGATTGGATGTATCATGTAATTGTTGTTATGGATTGGATATGCTTTGTTCTTCATCTTTATCTTGTTGTACTTCTCATTTTGGAATTTGATATATTTCTATTATTCTAGGATTTTGCAATTGGATTTTTGGATTGGATGTAATTGTTGTTATTTTAAGAGTTAAGAAAGTACAGATGTCATCATTTACATTTTACCTCTGTTCCGTGACTTTTGTTAGGATATCATTTATGGATTGCTTTGGATTCCTGTAGCTTATTTTGAATAAATATCTATTTATTGCTTTATTATTGATTTTATGTTAAAAATTTAGTTCCTCAAAACTCTTATTTAAAAAATAAATAAATAAAATGCATCGTTTGCTGTGAACTGGGGGCCCAAATTTTGAAACTCGCCTCAGGCCCCACGAAGCACAGGTCCGGCCCTATTGGGCTCCCAGGTGTTGCTACAATGAAGCCTAGGCGGTATCCCCTTTTTCAATAATTTGCAACTTAGGTCCTTCGATTTTTGCATGCTAGGTCTCTCAACTATGATTTTTTACAATTTGATCCTCAAAATTTGACTTTTCTTTCAGTTACGCCCTATATAAATTTCATCAAATATCTTTCAACTTTCTACACTTATGCATTTTGGTCCACAACATCATATCTACGTTTTTTTTAAATATATATTTTCACTCCATTTTGCCTTATTCTCTTTCCATTTGCGGTTTATGACCTAAAAACCCAAAAATACCAATTGTAAGTTGATACTCACTCTTTTCATCAATAATAAGCACATTTAGATATTAAATAAGTGTGCAAAAATACACTTATTAAATATTCCGAATCTTAAGTTTTTACTCATCCTGAGCAAGATTATCTACACCACAATCAAGTAAATGTGA